CGGGGCCTCGCTCGGCACGGGGGGCGTGGGAGGGGCCTCGCTCGGCACGGGGCCGTGGGCGGGGCCAAGCCGCCCCGTTGCTCCCCTCGGTTCCAGCCCCGCCACCGAGAGGCGCCTCCGGCCCCCGGTGCCTCGTCCCCCAGCACCTCTGCCCCCTCCGACAGTGGCCTTGGGCGTGCAGCATGAACACCACCGGGGCTGCCCATGGGCATCATTCCCGTCCGTCATGAGGCACCAGATACAGGATGTGGCACGGAAGCACCGTGGCGGTGCCAGCCCTGGCCAGGCGCTGCCCTCTGCCATTCCATTGCGAAGCTCTGTTTTCCTCGAAATCCGAGCAGACCCTGCCAACTCCCTCCGACAGTGGCCTTGGGCGTGCAGCATGAACACCACCGGGGCTGCCCATGGGCATCATTCCCGTCCGTCATGAGGCACCAGATACAGGATGTGGCACGGAAGCACCGTGGCGGTGCCAGCCCTGGCCAGGCGCTGCCCTCTGCCATTCCATTGCGAAGCTCTGTTTTCCTCGAAATCCGAGCAGACCCTGCCAACTCATTGTCAGGCTTAAATCCAAGAAGTGCTGGAACATCTCAGGGCTTTCAGGTTGGGAGGTGGCTCGGGGTGAAGTGTCCCCCGAACTGTGCAAGAGCAGGGTCATGCAGGCACCACCCAATGCCCCCAAAATACTGGTACATGGGGGAGCAATGATATCAGCCAGGGCCTTTTCCCTCCAGAAACACAAAAGCACCTATCCGGTCTTTGAAACCTTGATGGACCTTGGAACTGTGATGCTAGATGGACCTTGAGCGGCCTCTGCTTCTCCACAGCCTCAGACCAGCGCTGCCACCACCCGTGGGGCAGGCCCGGGCCTCTTGCTGGCTGCCAGCACTTGCAGCTCCCAGCTCGTGCAGGCTTACAGATTTCTTTAAAATTCCTTACAGATTTCATTAAATATAATGGTAATAATAAACACCACATTTTCATGCACTACTTTGGTAGTAGAGCTGGGACTGCTGAAATGAAAAACTGTAACGCACGTGTCTGTGATTTTACCGATTTTTAGTGTCGTCTCCCACACAAGAAAAAAAAAAAAAAAAA